TTTAAATTAAGTACCTTCCTAACACTACTCAGAAAAAGTACATACCTATGTCAGAGACACACACACAATCCACTTGCCGAAAGGGGCAAAAAAAGCAGAGATAGAGCAGTTTGGAAATCTATGAGATTCAAAAGTCTGCAAGATTTTCTTTAAAAAGTTACTAAGAACCATATGAATGATCGGTTTACTTTTTAAAGAAAATCTTGCAGACTTAAATTATCTTAATTTAAATTTATTCCTAATGCAGTTACTTTGAGAACCTACTTAGGTACAAGGCAAAGATGCCCATTTTTGCCACACAAGCATCCACCAATGCAATACTCAATTTACAGCATACACCAGCCATCAAACCATATTTTAAGGCATCTCTCATCTCGTAACAACTAATACTTGGAAAAAAAACAGAAACCCCCCCCCACGGCTCTCAACAAGAATGGATAAAAATATTTAACTGATGGTTGTAAGTTAAATGTAGCTAATGACTTGGTCTTAAACATTAGTCAGAAAAAAGATTTGCAAAAAGTGTTTAATTCTAAAAGTAGTGTATACAAACACTAGGGGGGAAAAAAAACCATAGCTGTCTGAAAACAGCGTTGAAAACCCTGCATATGTCTCTGGAAAAGGCAGCGAGACAAGATTAATATGATTCATTTCGAGCAAAGAAACATCCTGATACATTTGGAACAAATGAAAGATGAGTATCAGTCAAAACTGCAGTAGTCCAGGCGAGAAGTTTCGTTACAAGTCTTAGACCTTTGATGTAAGGGAGAGTAAAGTTTTAAAGGTCAGAAGCAGTTCCTGAAAAAAAGGAACATACAAACTTTACGAAAGACGGGTACTGAAAGGGAGACTGAAGACGTGCTATTACTCCGAAAAACACAACTTTTGGATATAGTACACTGAAGGATGTTAAGGCACATACCACAAATACGTACACTGATCTCTGATATAACACACGTGCCAACTAATTGCAGAAAACTGACTTCCGATGTTACAGCAAGCCAGAAACAGTAAGCACTTAAAATCCTATTTTTGGATCTAGCAACCCCAAGACATGATACCATACAACCATGCTGCAGCAGAGAGTATACTCCATTTTTATTCCTTGACAAAACACAGCAGTTCTGAACCCAGAGCCTGAAAAGCTTTCCGAGTTCACAGAAAACAGGTTATTTCTAAGGGGGAGTCTGAAAAACATGATTAAACTTTGCCTTCCTGAATATACCACATAGAAATCTGTATGTGGCAATTTCAGCACACCTGCATCACTGCAGGAAAAATTGAGGGGTTCACAAATAAAAAGGTAAAAAAAATAAATCACTGGTTTAAGGCATGCAGTTAAAAATGTATCTTTATGAAAGACTTCCACTCATTTACTCAAGGAGATAACTCTTCAGGATGCACTCAAATTATTCTGTTATACACTGGTGTACACCAGCTTGCTAATACAATGTTTAAGAAAGTCTTGTTAGGTGAAGTGCAACATATTAAAACAGTGTTCTACCAGTAAGGAAAGGTAAACAAAACACTGCCGAAGTACTTGTGTCAATGTAACCACACTAGTACAGAAGAGCTGTGCTAGAGTGCCAAACTCATATCCCAACTAAGGATACTGTACCAACGAAAGGGGACCCCGCTGTAGAGCCCTAGTGGTCTTCAGAAAATGTAACATCTGGACAAGATACACATATAATTACCATTCTTCTTTGCAAGAAATTTAACATTTAAATAGAAAGAAAAGTTGTAGAAAAACCTCTGGCAGTTTAAGGGAATCTACGCAGTCCTGCTCCTAAAGCTGTTCTAGAACTACACAACATTTTAAGAAAAAAATGAGACCATGCAAAAATTCTAATATACGACATGACGCTGACAATACCGAGACTTTCTAGATTCCTTCAAAATGTTTATTACAAAACGTGCTACAAACATTTCAGTTTCCCTGTAAGTCTATGTTATTCTTACCTCCTAAAGAAGGAGCTGGCATTAATAAAGCAACTCAAAACTACACTAATACCGTATGTTCTACAGCAAAGAAAATTCTGGGCAGGGAACACACGAACCATTATAGACTTGTAAGACAGAAGGAGATGCAGCACTGCAACAACAGTGGGAAATGCAGCTATATTTGGCTGCTGCCAATAAATGAAGTGCATTAGGACAATCTTTGCGGACTTCTTTTTAGAAGAAAACCACCAACGTTTGAGTTCAGTACATTCCAAGCCCAGAATACCAGTATCATCCAGGTCTACAGTGAAAACATGAGTGAATTAGAGACTCAACTTAGTCTTCAATATAAAGACACTTAACATCTGCAAGTTTGGGAATAAGTTAACCAGTCAGTCATTGTTTTTAGGTATCTAACAAGGTAAAACAGTACCTCAGATTAAGAAATGAGTCAAAAAGTTAACAGCAAAAGAAACATACTTGAAGATCCACTATGCACATGTGCTGGAAAAAGTTTCATCAACAGTGCAAGTTTCTTGCCTTTCTCCTTCCCTCTCCCTAATGACGCTGTGAATCTAACAGTTTTAAAAAGAGTACTTGAGTAAGTACATAAGCACCATGTTATTTATTTTCTATAATTAACTAAGGAGTGGGGACAATACAACAGATTCTATAAGTGGAATTTACTTAATGAAAGCTGCTTGCACTATTTAAAAGCAAATTTAAGGAGCCGATAGGTTAAAAATGTAAACTTCAAAGCAGTTTGCAAAGTGGGGACAAAGCAAAGTGGGACAAAAAAAAAATTGCAGTCTCTCAAGCAGCAAATGAAAAAAATATAACCCTCAAAACACACTTATTGGTTAAGAGGTTTGATTTTATTTAATTAGAAAAACAGATATGGTATCATGTTAAAAAACACAGAAGATGGAACTGTCCCAAATCCAGGTAGAAGTTGTCAACAACAAAAAAAAAAAATCCAGAAGAGTAAGAATCCCTTAATGTTTTTTTATGTAGCATATATAAAGTGTTTGCACTACCATAAACCCTCTGCATATTTATCAGGTGATGACAATCTCAATCCCTTTGAGAAAAATTATCCCATTTGTGCACTACTGAAACTGTCCAACAGTCCCTAGTGCTTTACCATAACTGCAAAAAGTTCTGCCCAGTAAGCTAACAATTAAAACAGACTAAGTATTCTGTGAAAATCTGCACCTGTTAAACTGAAATACATTCACAAATGATCCAAACCTTATTTGATCACAAATGTCTTAACTTAGAAAAGTGCATTCATCTGAATCAAAACATGCCTTTAACTTTCATATTTTTCAAGTATCAGGACTTCTCTGACAAAATACATTTTTATCTCACTCACCTCTCTAAACTGAGCAAGATAACCATTGTCAAGACAAATTAAAAATGGTTACTACTGAATTAAGTACTGGTTTCCAAGCCTAGCACAAAAAACCCAACAACTAGCTCTAGCTAAAGAGCAGCTTCTCCAACCCTCTTCTACTCCCTTACTAGAGACCTGTTGATATTAGGAATAGTCATGTCCTCCAGTTACAACATAATATTACCTATATCTAATATGCTCTGAAAGTTACACACAAACTTTTCAAAACTACCGCATCATTCACCAAGAACAGAGAAGGCAAAAATCAAAATTTTGAAGATGATTCCAAGTAGAATCACATCCACTGCTCAACCAAAAACCAGCTACTAAAACCTCCTTTTTACTGTCAAATGAGGAGCTTCTTAAAAAAAAAAAAAAAACAAAACAAAAACCAAAAAAACCACCCAAAACCAGAAACCCCAAACAACTCTTCCTTTTTCTTGCCAGCTGTAACTGCATTGAACAAGACCACCGGTGGCATCAGAAATGCCACCACTCACTAGAGACTGGCAGAAGGCAGCCTCCTCCATATCCTACAGGCTAAGAAGACCTAAAGTGTGTTCAGAGAAACTCCTGCGGGACAGGTAACCAAGTACTCTCATAGCAAAATGACACCAAATGCTCATCTGCTTCCCAAGAAGCATTAGAAAGCTGAACAGCCCTTTGTTACTCCCTCCCCCCTCCCAGTACAACCAGTTTGTATTTGCTAGGGATTGGGACACCCTAGATTTCCAACCTCTAGCTTGCCTTCACAGCATCACCAGAGACCTTTGCAGGCCTGCAGAGAAGCCCCTTTATCTCCACAGCCCTCAAGTCTACAGGGGAATTTCAGACATTTTGGTCTCGCAGCAAAGAAATGGGAGATGCAAGATGAACTGCACTCCATATTGATTCTTAATGCAAATAAGGTGAAATAACATTTCATTTCTAAGAAGGCAAGAGTCTCGATAAACCTTATGCCCCAAGCTTGGGATCTGGATTTTGGTTTTAGCTGGTTTTTTCCTAAAGTCGATGGCCTATCTGAATCAGAAAAGCAGTTTTTAGATATTCTTCTGCGAGGAAGAGTCAGTAGGATTGTAAAAAGTAAATCAAATAAGCAGACTGCATGTAAGAGGAAAAAAAGAAAAACAGTAGAGAAAGAAACCTCTTTTCTAAACGAGTTATTAAAAAAAAACCCTGTATATGCAAAATAAAATACGAAACAAGACACACATTTGTGTGTACGAACATACACACATAATTCAACAATAAAGTATACAAAGGCATCACCTTTAGTACTATTTCGTATTTCTGCAACTGGCATTAAAGGCATATGCCTAGCAAGGAGCTCCGTAGTAACTACTATTGTGAAAGACACGAAAACGACGAACTGTTAAGTCTTATCTGCAGTTGATCAAAAGCACAATAAACTGCACAGCTTTGCTTTCAATCACTTCCAAAAAAACAGAAGGGCAGAAACATCCGAACAACCCTCCCTATGCCATTAACCCCAATAGCTTCAAACGGAGCGCAAACGAGAGGGACGGACAGACAGATAGAAAGGACGCAGGCACGAGTTAACAGCAGCAAGGGGGAGGAGGAGATTTAGGCCGAAAAGGGGAGAAAAGGGCAGTAATTGCGGCACCGAGAGGTGGGGAGGGCCGGGGCCCCCGAGACTGACCTGTGCCGTCGCTGGCGGACACGGAGAGCGCCGGTGAGGAGAGTTTAGGCCGCTTGGCTGAAGGCGGGCCCGGCTCCACCACATTCTCGGCCATTTTTAATTCTTTTTTAGACAATCACTCAGAGCGGGGAGACGGCGGGGGGTGAACCCCAAGACCTTCACCTTCTTCTGGGGCCCCGAGTCGGCCGAAGAACAACAATAAGGCCGAGGGCGAGCGCGGAGGATCCGGCGGAGGAGGGGGGCCAAGTTCCCCTTTTTCTGCCCCTCGGGCTCCGGGAGGCCGGCAGCGGAGAAGCGGGGAGAAGGTGGGAGCCGGGGCGGAGGGGGGG